CGCAACCACCAAATCTCGTCAACTTTTTGCTCTGCCACACGTCTCTGCTACGCCGATTTTTAGGGATTTTCGTTAGTGAGAAAGGAGGGGCAAAATCGTCCTCACCAGCCCAAAATGATAGACGAAAATCGCTTTCCTCAACCAAAGGGCATTTGGCCAATATGGGCCTCTTATGGGTATATTACGCCCAATCTCTCAAAAAAAAAACAAAAAGAGAGAATGTAAAATCTGTAGCAATCCTAAAATTAATATTTACAAATCTGACAAAGCCGAAAAGGTCTCTCCAGCTCCAGCTAACCTCCAAAAGGAAGGAGAGAGAGAGATTCAAATCAATCATATGCAGAGCAGAGAGGTGAGAGGCTAATTGGTTCTCCCTTCCTCTCTCTGATTCACCTCTCGATTCCTCTGGTTTCCGCGCGGGAAACCTTCTTTCGTTGATCTTCCTTTTGTCTTGATTCCGTCATGGCGATTCTCTACGCACTGGTGGCGCGTGGGACGGTGGTGCTCGCTGAGTTCACCGCCACGTCTACGAACGCGAGCACGATCGCTAAACAGATCCTGGAGAAGGTCCCTGGGAACAACAACGACAGCAACGTCTCTTATTCTCAGGATCGCTACGTCTTCCACGTTAAGCGTACCGATGGCCTCACCGTCCTCTGTATGGCTGAAGAAACCGCCGGAAGTACGTCCTCCTCCTCCTCCTCCTCAAAGTTTTGATCTTTCGTGAAATTGAGATTCAAAGTTTTAACCTTTTATCATGTTTGTGTATTAATACGTCAGATTCGAGTATTCTATGTAGTAAAGTTTTGTTCTTTTTTTGTGTGTGTGTGTGGTAATAATCTCAGGGAGGATTCCGTTTGCGTTTCTGGAGGATATTCACCAGAGGTTCGTGAGGACTTACGGGAGAGCAGTTCATACAGCACAAGCTTATGCAATGAACGATGAATTCTCTAGAGTTCTTAATCAGCAGATTGAATATTACTCTAATGATCCTAACGCCGATAGGATTAATCGGATCAAGGGTGAAATGAGTCAGGTCTGAAGCTTCTCTTTGTTTCTGAGATTCTTATTACTTGTGCTTTCACGCTGACATACAACATTCTTATAGGTGAGGGATGTTATGATAGAGAATATTGACAAAGTTCTAGATAGAGGTGAACGCTTGGAGCTACTTGTCGACAAAACAGCTAATATGCAAGGGAATACATTCCGTTTCAGAAAGCAAGCTCGCCGGTTCAGAAGCACTGTCTGGTGGAGAAATTGCAAGCTCACGTATGTGTTTATTACAACCTATGGATTTTTTGTTTGAGTCGAAGATTGTTACTAACTGTGTGTTTGTTGTGTCTTCTTCTTGCAGGTTCCTTTTAATACTAGTACTACTGGTGATCATATACATTGCCGTGGCCTTTGTCTGCCACGGACCTCTTCTACCATCTTGCATTTAAGTAAATTGTTTCTGTCTCTTAAGGAATCTTGGTTCTGTGCTTGTCACGGTTGTTTTGTCTGCTCTTTGCTCTTATGATTTTAATCCTTATCTTTGTCTTAAACTCACTTATATGGAAGTATTCTTATTTTTATAGAGCCATGTGAAAGCTCATTGGTTTGCGATTGCAAGCTGTGTGAATTTGTGCTGTCACCATGTTCTATAAAGAGGATTGCTTTTGTCTGATTTGTTTTGTCCACGCCAACATCTAAGGGATTTGTTCATCTATCAAAAGATATCCAAAATGTTGGGGGCAGATCAAAAGCATTTTTGAATTAAAGCTTTGGCTGACATAAGCAACAAAAACAAATGCGCAGATATTCATATATAAAAGTTTATTTATTGCATAAGTATATGAAAGGCTAAAAGCTAAATGTCAAGTGCTAAAAAGGGTAGGCTAAAAGCTAAATGTCAAGTGCTACAAAAAAAAAGGTCTGAATTGTATCCCTTGCAAAAAAATTTAAGAGAAATTTCATAACATAATTATTTTTAGTTAATTTTTCACAAAACAAATTAGTGATAAAATAAATTTTTATCTTTAATAAAATCTATTTTGATCATTTTTTTCATTAATATAATCAAAACAATCACTACTCAATTCTGTCTTTTAATTTAAGCGGTAGCCTACTATTAAGGTTTACTAAATTATGGTTGCACCAAAAAACATTACATTATTCGGACTAAAATAACTGGAGAAAGGCTTTAGTTTAGTCGATAATCTGGTATTAGTTTTGTTTTTACCTGATAATGACAAAGGACACGTCATATATCTGATTCGTCTTACAACCTTTCGCTTCATCCAGAAGGTTTGACAAGTGAATCCTCGTGTTGAGACAGAAGGTTTACTTCGTATATATGTTCCTGAATCAAAGCTAGAAACTCGTCGTTTTAGCTTTCGACAATCTGCGGACGACGACGACGACCATGGCGCCGATTCTCAGATCCACTTCCCTAATCGCTTTGCTCGTCTTTCAGATTTCCCTCTTCTTCTTTGTCTCTACTCTTCCAATCTCATCTGGGTAATTAGATCGTTTATCCTCCATTCCTGCAAATCCTCTATGTTTTTTTTTTTCTCATCTTCGATTTCAATTTGATTTAATTGTTTGAAGAATCTAGCTTATAGACATTAGCAATTTACATTCTTTCTGATCTGTTTTTGTTCGATTTGTTTGCAGGAGTGAGGATAGTTACACGATCACGGGTCGTGTAAGGATCCCAGCAAGTATGTTTCATCCTAATTACGTTTTTTATTTATTTGTCTTGTAGATTAGTTATAAGCTTACTGCTTTGTCAATTGTGAGATTGTCTGAACCGCTCAGAACTTATTTGCATTAGTTGACCCGTGAGTATGATTAGCAGCTTCATCTTTAGATTAAAGCTGTTACTAGGTCCACCTATTATGATCAGTATGTATTTTATTTTCTTTATTAGAATGTCTTATCATCGTTGCGCTTACGTACATTCTGTATACGTATTTCCTTTGGGGAGTTTGACTTAGTTATGTAGTATGTTATAACTATAAGCAGACTAGCTAAAAGTAGTGTTTGATTGAGGATATGAGCGAATAGGTTTCAATACCTTGAACAACGTTTTTAGGAATCTTTCAGGTTTTTGTCATCATTGGCTTTGATTGACCAATATGCTTTGATAGTTTGGATACTGTTCTTTTGACAATTTACTATGCTTTCTGCCATATTCGTCTTCACACTCCATCTCGTTTCCATCATATATTAGCCTCACTACTGCTCTTTTTACTCAAACTAATCGAGAAGTTATTTTGGCAGGCACTGCGATTGGTCACGCAGCAAAATTCTCAAATATCAAAGTTGTCCTCAATGGTGGACAGAACATTACTTTCCTCAGGCCGGATGGATACTTTACATTGTATCCTATTTCTCCTTCTTCAAATTATAGTTTCCTTTAGTATACTATATTATTCTACTCAAGATACCTGCTAACTTTTTTTTGTTACACGTTTACATATATACCTTTTGATGTATGTATTACTAAAAATGAATCATTCTCGTTGACTTTCGTTTTCCTTTACTTGTCTAATTTCACAGCCACAAAGTGCCAGCTGGGACTCATCTGATTGAAGTTTATGCGTTAGGCTTCTTCTTCTCTCCAGTAAGATTTTTTTAGTTTCGGTTATGTTTGATTTTCCAGAACTACAGCTTTATAAAGAACCCGCTTCTCATCCTTCAATGAATGATATGTAAAATTAGGTGCGTGTTGATGTTAGCGCACGGCACCATGGCAAGGTTCAAGCAACGCTAACAGAAACCAGGAGGAGTCTTACTGAGCTGGTTTTGGAGCCACTGAGGGCGGACCAATACTATGAGGTGAATACTTCATACTGTATCTGCTTTTTCTTTAATGCAGTTGTTTAATGTTTAGCTATTGTGCCTCTTCCTCTTGTTTTTCTGATCGATCATGTACTGTTTGCAGATGCGTGAACCTTTCAATGTAATGGCAATCTTGAAAAGTCCAATGGGTCTGATGGTGGGATTCATGGTGGTTGTTGTGTTCTTAATGCCCAAGTTGATGGAAAACATTGGTACGCTTCTCTAGCCCTTCACTTGTGCTCGTATGTATTGATAATGCTCATCATTTAGCCGTTTTGTGGGTCTCGCACTATCTAGTAGCAATCAGTGTTTAACCTAATTTGCTGAGGAATTCAGTAATATAGACTATGCATTAACCTAACTTCAGCATTTCTACAAATCTCGTAGAACTCTAGAAGCTGTTGGTGAATTGAAACATTTAGCAAGTTATATTTAATGGGTTCCTGAGAACTGTTGGTATTTATGGTGAAACAGATCCAGAGGAAATGAAGAGAACACAAGAGGAGCTTAGAAACCAAGGAGTGCCTTCACTTTCTAGCTTGTTGCCTGCTAGCCGATAAGAGCTCCTAATCAAGAGTCCAAGGCCCAGAACTTCTTGCATGTACCGGCTAAACACTTCTGACGAGCCTTTGGAAGAAATCAGGGTCAGAAGATTCCTTAAGCGATCAACTTTAGGTTGCCAATGATTGTGTTTTGTTAGTGCAGTATTTGGTTTGGACTGTTGTTATATGTGCAGAGACTCATGGCAAGCTGACCTTAAAATTTGCTTTTTGCTTACCCTTTCTTGTTAAACGTTTTGCTTCTCTTTTACCTTTTTTGGGTTTGGAATGTTTCAAGTGAGTCTATGGCATTCTACTTATTCAGATCATAAGTATTAAAGTATGTATGTATAAGAACTGAATACAGACCGTATGAATTGAAGAGAGAAGCTTGTAATAAATTTACGTTTCTACAACAACACTTAATGTTAGTTTGTTTTTTGTTTAGAAAACATAATAATTCTTTTGATCAATTACTCAATTGTGCATGTAGATTATTGAAAACTAGTAGTTGGCGGCAAACTCCATAATGTTGTCGTTGTATGTGGAAGTGGAATGACTATTTTCTTGGGTTGTAGGGTTTGAGTAATTTGGTTATAAGAAATTATATATAGAGGAATATTTTTTATATATAAGATCGTCCTGTTGGGTGGATATGATCGACCCGTTGATTCATGAATATCAATTGTTTGGATTATTTATAAGGTTACATAGTTTGTTTTGTATATATATCCTCCGTAGTTATTTTGCTAGTTTTTTAAAAAAAATGTCATAAGTTTACAATAAGTTTGCCGTCGTTATTTTATTACAGTGGAATGCATTTTAAGAATGTTAAACTTAGGGAGTAGTGGTTTACTGAGATTGTGTGGTGATGTTTGACAAAATAAGTTGGGAATCATGACTATGGTCTATTTTAAGTGGAACCATCCATGAGTGATGGTTAGACAACACTCTATGTCTGTGGTTTAGCAATGAAAATATGATGTGTTAACTATTTTTCTACAACAGACACAATCATTTGTCTATGAAGTACTCACCTTGATGGAGTTTTGTATGTGTTTTTGCAAGCCCCAATTGTTTCTGAACGTGTCGTGCTTATAAGCTTATTCCCAAAGTTTGTGTTTTTTTTGTAAATGGGCTTTTAAATTAAAATGCATAGGTAATAAATACAAGGTTATGAGTTTCACCCATGAGTTTGAGAAAGATTGCAACAAGTAAAGGATACAATAATACCCTAGAGTAAGATTCAAGGAAGAATCTTCGATGACAAAATAAAAAGAGACTAACTATAGAATTAGGTTTGTGTTATAGGGACCATTATTTTGTTCTAACAGCTGAATGAAAGTCGATACTACTTCACGATCCTCGTTTCCTTGCTCAGCTCGAATGACAAGCGAACCAAGCTCCGTGGATTACTTCACGATCGATATTCATATCTTCTGCAGTTCTTTTGTTTCTATCTTTTTAGTTTTATTTTCCGTTTTGGGTCAACACTGAGGCTGATTCTCTAGAAAGGCAGTTCTCTTTTAATTGTCATAAACTATTTAAATTTCTGCGGCTCTAATATCTTATTAGAGGAACAATTAACATTTTAAATTTGTTTGTGTGCTCTACGTTGCACCTTCAAGATATTGTAGTTAACTATAAGCGTGTTTGGAGTGGAATGATTATTCTTTTCCTTCACGGTAGGTTGTCCATGTGAACATATGTTATAATATTATTATAGTATACTAGGTGATTTTCCCGTGCTCATGCACGGGCATGTATATTTATAAAATAAATATACAATAATAACTGATTGATATTTACTTTAATTTTTAAATTAATTTATAGTTTGTATGTCTAATTTATATTATAATATTTAATTACTTTAATTATATATATAATTTTAGATATGTTATATTTAGTTTGTTTTATTGTTTTTACGGTCGATTTAGTTATCATTTAGATATATTGGATTCTATATATTTCTCTGAATTCAACTATTATCTTATATATTTTAAATATATTAAATTTTTGATTAATTGTCTTATTTGCATTTATGATGCTTGTTATCTTAGAAATATAAATATATTTAGTAAGATTATATATAACTTAAGATTTTTTTTGTGCTTAGAAGGAAAAAAATATAAAAACTAAAGTTTCTGATTCTAAAATACATACATAAGTAACTAATGAATTTTTAGAAGATTTTTAACACATACCAATATTTACAATAGTTAAAATATTATATAAATTCTAAATAAATTTTTGCTTTAGATTGTTTGGATGGTAAACTGAAATTTATTTTAAATAATTTTTAAAATAAGGATTTTGGTTTACTTAAATATTTGACTATGGTTATATTAAGTTTCACAAACATAAAAACATAAAATTAAAAATCAAAAGATTTATTAAGAAAACAGATAACTTTAACTATTAAAATATAATACATCTACCTCGTTAAATTATATAGTGTTATGGTATTTTAAAATAATTGTAGTTATTTTCTGTTTTTTATGTTTGTGAAACTTAATATAACCATAATCTAAATACTTAAGTTATCAGAATCCTTATTCTTAGAACAGATAATTTTAACTATTAAAATATAATATATCTATCTCGTTAAATTATATAGTATTATGATATTTTAAAATAATTGTAGTTACTTGAACAAAGGGTGTTTATCATTAAATTTATTTTTAGTATCTCTTAAAATAGTCAGTAAAAAGTGATTGTTTTTGAGAAATTATACTATATAAGTAAAATAAAATTTATATTTTTACTGTAATTGTAAGATATTATAGTCAAATAAATATACTAAAAAAATAATTTCAATAATACTAATTATAAAAAAAATTCAGTTAAACATATATCAGTTTATGTTAGTTGATTATTTTATGTAATCATCTAATAAAATAGATAGATATATACAAAAATAATTATTTTGAAAATATATATATTTTATTGTTTAAAATTATTTTTTAAAATATTTATTTTTCTCATAGCAATAATTTTTGTGTGAATTTTTTTTATGAAATCTCATTATATACATATATTTTTTTTATCTAAGAAGATATAGGTATAAAGTATTTATTACTTCAAAGGTATATTTCATGTTATTTAAAATATATTTAAATTAATTATTACTATTTTGTGAACTTTTCTTTTTTTATTAAACCATATTATATATACTTATATTTTCGTTTTTAAATATTTTTGTAAATTTTATAAATGTTTCCTTTTTATTTTATATTGTTATTTGGAAATTTTTAAAAAGAAAATAATATTTAGTTGTATTTTTAATTTATTAGGGATATCATAGTAATCAACCAACGTGAGAGTTAACGTTAGCGCGACACCTAAGAAAGTGACTTCTCAGATAATATTATAGAGATATAAATCATATATATTATGTCACTAATATTTTTTAGGAAGCGTTCATTGAAGTAATAATGCACACAGCTACTTCTTACACAACAATGCTTTAACAATCAACTTGATTTTAAGCGCGGAAATTTTTTATAATTAAAAATTTATATAATTGGATTTTGTCTTAATTTAAAGAATGTTTTGGTATAAATTAGTTGACCAAAATTTATGGTGATAGTTGTTTTTCATTAGTTTTTAGTTTCAGTTTTTTTTTGTAGATTTTGTTTTAAATTTTGGTTTTTGGTTTTTGGTTTTTGGTTTTTAGTTTTTAAGTTTCTATTTTTTATTTTCAGCTTTTGGTTTGGGTTTTTAATTTTCAGACCCGCTGATTTAGTTTGAACTGATATTACAAACAAATAAATCTCAATTAATCGAACATGTAATTTAAAACTGAATAATTTTCTAAAAATTTTGAAATAGTTTATTTTCTAAATAAAAAGCAAAAAATATAACCTGCGTTTTCAGCTTTTGGTTTTGGATTTTAGTTTTTAGATTTTGTTTTTGGTTTTGCTTTACATTTTTTTTGTAAAATCCGTAAATTATTTAAGAAAAATAAAACAATAAATTATTTAAAAGTTACCATTAAAATTTATCAAGATAGAGTGATTGTTATTTAAAATAAAAAAAAATAACATGTTTTAAAGTACATGATTTAAATAAGTGATTAATAATAGATAATTTTGTTTTGTTAAAAATATTAAATATTTTTGGGCTAAAAATATTAACATGTTTTAAAGTACATAATTTAAATAAATGATTAATAATAGATAATTTTGTTTTGTTGAAAATATTAAATCTTTTTGGGCCTGAAAATAGTAATTGATTTTTGATCCTTTAAGGTGAAAAGTTTATTTAATGTTTTTTGGATTTTTTGTTTAATACTAAGCCCAAAAACCAAACAATTAAATGTCATAAAAACAAAAACAAGCCCAAAACTCTATTCCATAAATAACCGTCGGTTTAATTTAAGTAATGCGGTTCAATCAACTATATAACTTGAATTATTTGTAACACTTTAGAAATAGTCTAAATTTAAATGACAACTTGTATCAGTAGATAAAAAGAATGACTCTGTTTTAGTAGAGTAGATTATTGGGTTTCAAAATTTATAGAATAAAAATAAATTAACTAAATGGATTTGACATGGTTACCAACAAATATCTTTTAAGTAAGAGTCGTCCAAATGCGTGGAACAGAGTTGATTTCATTTCCAGAGTTGGCTTTAATTATTAGACGATTTTGTATGAATATAAAATAAAATTTAATGTGATACTGTTAAAAAAAAAATTGACAACGAAACTTCTTTCAAAACAGCTTTTTGATATATAAAAATTTAGTTTGTGTATTCGAAAATTTCAGTATATTTTCTGAATACTTGTGTGGCTAACTGCAAGTTTGGAAAAGACTTTATTTAATAATCTTTAAGATTGCCAGCTAATAACCTTTGTTATCGCCTGCTACGTGTAGACCGTAACCTTTAATCCAACTTATTATAGTCAAATTATAAATATATAAATTAGTCTGCTAATCTCGTGTAGGAAATCAATTGGAAAACTTTTCATTTGTCTTCTAATGAAAACTCTATAAATACTCACTAAACTGCCGGCATTTGTCTCCACCCATCTCAAAGAAAATACTACTACTTTCTGAGCTTTTCCGCCACAGAAACAAATGGCACCAAGAACCTCTCTTGCATTCTTCTTTTCTCTTAACTTCCTTTTCTTCACTTACACTTCTGCAGCAGGCTCTTGTTCTGGAAATTCCGAGCAGTTATCTAGTTGTTTAGATGCGATCAAGGCAGCGAACACACCACCAACATTCGTGTTTCAAGCATTGGTAAACAATACGAACTTAAAGCCATGCTGCCCGCTCACTGTAGGTTTGGATGACTTAAATGCCGCACTTTGTCTTTGTGTCGCGCTCAAGACTAGCAAAAACCCTCCGCTCATCAGAATTCTCACTCCCGTCACTTTCAGCGATCTCCTCAAGACTTGTGACAGAAA